GAGATTTGGTAAGTATTAATTTTTCAATAATTATAGATAACTAAAGCTGCACGTGCATTTAAGTTGTGCCTGAGATTTGACCTACCAGATGCATGATCCTTAATTAAGAGGGCAGTTTCTATTAATTGAAGCAACCAAATTTGAGTGTCCAAATCAGTATTGCACGCCCAGATTATTGAATTTAGATCATTTCTGAATTTCTGTGTTCAGAACTAATAAATTCAGAAATTCGCATCGTTCAAAAGAGAGATTCAGACCATTAATCAATGACTTGACTATATGAGGCGGACCAGTAAATGTGTAACGACTATGATATAATATTGACGATGATCAGTCACAATAATGTACATACATATCTAACCACAATCAAAACCTTTCGTTCCATCTTGATATATTAAGGGAAAAGGAAATACGTCTCGATCTCTTTCTCAAGCGTTATGCTACATCATTAACCCAAAAAGCATTATGCTACTTACTACATCAAAGTAATTAACTTTAGTTTAACTTGAGTATTTTATTAACTTTCCGCGATATATGAATCGTATTCTGACGTGTAATTTTAGGAAACTTATATTTTAAATTTTTGTTAAACTACAATTGAACAGTGTTAAAAACTAGTTTAGCTACTCAGTTTAACTTTTGATCTTCAACAACATTTTCTATTTTAATGAACTTTAATTAACAATTTAAACTCAACCCATTCAATTTTTGAAACAGGCTTCTCTTTCTTCCTTTCCTCCTTGCTCAAGAGTCCACCCTTGAGTTTTATTATTTTGTTAATATTTAGCTAATGAATAGTTGCTCTGCATTTTTAAAGAGTGTTGTTCATTTTGCTATAATAGAGAAACTTTTATAGAGTATGTTGGAGATAGGGGTGGGTTCAAAAAACCGAAAATCGAAAAAAATCGAAAACCGAACCGGACCGAGACCGAAAAAAACCGAACCGAAATTGTCAAACCGAACCGAACCGAATCAGACCGGTTCGGTTTCGGTTTTTGAGGCTCGGAAACCGAACCGAACCGATATATATATATATAATTTTTTTGAATATTTATAAATAGTTTAGTCATACAATCATAACAAAACAGAACCTGTTGCCAAGTTGGTTTCAGTGAAACTTTACAAGTATGGAGGCATGGGTGCGAACCCTCATGCCTCTAGGATTTGTGAGATTTTTTTAATCTTTTTAATAAAACCTTTAAGTGTAACCCTAACCCTTCTCCTCCTTATTTTTCATTCCGCCTCGCCTATTAATATGAATGTGAACTTTCATATTTCCTTTTTTTTTTTTTAATAATTTTGGAGGGAGAGAGAGAAAAAAAAAAAAAAAAAAAAAAAAAAACCGAAAAAAAAACCGAAACCGAACCGAGAAAAACCGAACCGAGAAAAAACCGAACCGAAAAAAACCGAAAAAAATTTGAACCGAACCGATTAGAACCGAACCCAGCCCTAGTTGGAGAGATGATTTTTTTTTCTAGAAGTTTTGGCTATTTTATAGCATCAAATACTAGGAGGAATACATTCTAATACCGCACGACGTAGCAAATGTAAAACTATGTTAGAGTTTTTTATTGATTTTTTTTTCTAGAAGTTTTGGCTATTTTATAGCATCAAATACTAGGAGGAATACATTCTAATACCGCACGACGTAGCAAATGTAAAACTATGTTAGAGTAGTGAATTTAAATTAATTTGACTATTTACATATATTCATACAGTAAATGAACCCTGTTTATTTTTCAAACAAATAATACTACGATAATTACATCTACTCTATCATTCCTAGTTGTATTCTTTGTCATCACCAAACAACGTTCGACGATGAATGCCAAATATAAGAATGCCTTCAAACATCATGAACTAGCACTAACTATATATATCACTGTTTGATTGAGATATTTACCAATCGGCAATAGGGTTAGTGGACTTCCATGCACAGTCAACGTCATTTCGACGATGTAGCCGACCATATATATTAAGGGTAAATATATGCATAATGCACCATACTACTCTAATTTTCATTGAACGAATCATTTCTTTGTGAGAGCACACCAAACTTTTCAAGGATTATGTTGAAAGACATCTACATGTACTTGTACGACGTGAATCTTAGTGCTTAATTTGTTTAATTCTTGTTTAGGGTTGGCTAATATGAGGATCCTGATGATTCTCAAATCGTGTCCGTTCATCGTACATCGTGCGATCAGTTTTCGTCAAGTACTATTTACATTTAATTTAAAATAATTTATGGTTGCACAATGTATAATGAACGGACATGATTTGAGGATTTCCAAGATCCTCACAAAGAGGATCCTCAATCGGCTAATATGGGTTTTTTAGGGTGGGTGATGTCACGCCTAGAGTATGTTAACGTCATGCCTGAAAATGCTACTATATTGTTCTTTTTACACCCAATTCGTGCCCTTATGCATTGTAAATTAAACCTAATTTAGTGCACGCCCTAATTATTTATTTTTCTAATGCATGCATTACTTTCATGGTTATATTGACTTTGGGGGTTACCAAAATAGAGCGGGGAACGAAAGGGCTTTCAAAGTGGGTAAATTTTTTGTTCACCACTTTATTTATCATCTACTTTATTTATGAGCATGAATTTAAAATTTGAGATTCGTGTCTATCCACTATATAGATCTGAAATTTTCAAATTCTGATATGATGAATAGGGTGAATGAGTATCACCATCAACTTGATGGTGTGGGCAAAAATATATTCTTTTCATGGGTTAATGTGGGGTTTTATTTATATATATTTTTCTCTTGATAAACGATATGATAGTTTCAAAAATATTGAAAAATTAAACTCACATGTCATAACAAGTCACAATGATTCACAACTTATTATCTAACTTATGTGTGTGTGTGTGTGTATTGTTCTCATATCTGCGTTTGTCAAATTTATAATATTTTCTAGTTGAATAAAAACAAGATGTCGCTAATTCAGCTGACCATTTACTTACTTTTTCTTTCCTCTTTTTCACTTTAGGGTTTCTTAGACGTAGAGGAAACGAATTGTAAGCCTTTAGTGACCCTAATTTGACAAAGCATTAGAAAAAGACCAAAGGAGAGCGGTTAAGGCCTAATCGTATCCTTTTCCGAAAAAAAAGAAGCAAAAAAAAAGTAATTAATCAAACAAAGTAACAAGTCGACATGGACATGAGTCACCAATGATGATGATGATGAAGGAAAATTGGCCAGGGTCGGCTTATACATCCCTCTGTTCTCTTATCCAATCCATCACTGACTCTGTTTTTTTTATGTAGGAATGATGCAACTTTATAGGGCTGTGAGCATATTTTTAAGAGAATATATTCCAATTTGGTCAAGAAAAAAGGGTGGGGGAAGGATGGGCATTGGAAAAACTATAATCCACCCAAAGAAAACGCCAAGGAGAAAAGGAGAAGCTTCATCTTCCTTCTTCGGCAGCACAAAACACTTTGGCAGATGTCGGCTTCGCACCAAATGCAATGCTTACCAAGTTCCCGTCACCTGCTGCTGGCTATTGCAGGGGACATGCCAATTGGCATCTCACTTTTGTGCACGGACATGCATGGGTCGAAGGGAGTTTCAGTGTACTTGAAATACAAGCAATACACTACGTATCATTATATAAATAAAAGAGCAGTGAATAATATATTTATATTTTCACTTATATTATGATGCATGAAAAATTTCTCTATGTGTAAGGCATTTGAGTTTTTGCTTATAGAGATTTAAATAGATAATTGTTATTAGCATTCCAAAAATCTCATTTGGCACTCCAAACTTTCTATAATTAGAAAGAAAAATACACTTGTGAGGAGGGTAGAATGATATTTTTAGAGTACTAATAATAATTCCCTTTAAATAATACCGATTAGTTATATGCGATGTACTGTAAACACGAGTTGATTATGATCATTGATATTGCATGTCCTATATGCATCAACAACGAAGATCAATCACAAATTGTACAAGTAAAAGGACTTTTTATCCAAAATAGTTTCCGAGATTGGCATAACTCCTTATATTAGTTTTTAAGATTTAAAACCGATAAAGAGATTATCTATCATCAATCATTTTGCTCTTTATGTGAGAAATTTCTATTAAATTGAGAATATTTTTTGTCAAATTAATCTCTTTCCTTGAACTGATAGCTTCGTTAATTTAAGTAATACTTGTTCAAGGCTAATTATGATCCCCATCTGTCATTAACGTTAGTCACATTATTCATTACGCATCCCCACTACCACTTGGTACCCAAGATGCCGGGTCAACCTTATAAAATCGAGAAGCCTTTGTTAGTGAAGGAATATAAGTATTCGGGTCACAGAAAACCCGTGAAACCTGACCCACCGAACCACCATCGGCCCATCCCTTGCCCAGATGGTGGTGAAATGTGAATGGAAGTTCTAGATGCTGTCGGGTAGCGCGTGACGCAGACGCCAAAATTAGGGCGTTTGATAAAGAAAATAAATTTACAAAAAGAAAATAACATGCCCTTAAAAATCCAACGCATCCAATTTATTAAGCGCCCCCCTCTCATAGGGATTTCCTTTTTCTTTACGTTCCATTACCGAATCTTTATCATCCAAACACCATAGTTATAATTGTTCATTCTATTTGTCTTCGTTTAAAGATAAAATAATCGTTTAATTTAGAGGTTTAATCAACGTATTAAATCAATCAACAATTTTGTAGATATAATTTTTAAATCATGATAAAGACAATAAACAATTATGAGTAATACTAAAAAGATCAAATTCAAAATCCAAATAATATGTCATAAATAAAAAATAAACACATTAATTAACATTTAAGTAATAATTATATTATTAATGTGTAAATCATTTGATTTAAAAATTTAAGCAAATACATAAGCGTTTTACAATGAGTTTAATAAATAAATAAATAAATAACGTTTTTAATCATTTTTGTGACAAGCAGGTAATGATTAGGTCAAGAGTGGAGATTATTAAAAAAAAATAAATAAGAAATGGAAAAGGAGATGAGAGCGAGAAAGTGCCTTCCGAAAAGCAATATTTTAGTAGCAATAAGCAGCTGGGGTGCGTGGGAAGGAAAAGAAAAGAGACAGAAACAAGGAAGAAAATCGAAAAACAGAAAAGAATTGAAAAGAAAAAGAAACGAAATGAATTGAAAGCAGCAAAATAAAAGATGATACAGAAGAGAAGAACAAGTGTTGATGCAGTTGCAGGCGGCGGCGGCCGTGGCGGTAGAAGAAGCGGAGGAAGAACAAGAAGTGAGAGACAGGCAAATGCGTTTCTTGAGATGCCAGTCGATTCCGGCAGAAAAGGAACCTTCTCCGTACTCCTCCTTTTCCTCCTTTTGATCCTCATTCTTCCTAGCATTTAATTGCTTCAATCTCTCTCCTCTTTTCTCTCTCTCTACATACAGACTTCTGGTTCTTCATCTGCTTTTGCTTTGCTCATACGTCGTCGTATTGCACTCTTCATCTCGTCCTATGCTGCCGTTTGCTTCCATATCTCTTGGATTTCTTATGCTTTTTCATTCTGCTTGGACTCGTGGACTTGCAGCTGCTCCTATTGAATCGCCAGGATACGCTCCAATCGATCGCCGGATGCATTCTTGAAGACTCTGAAATCGGTTAGGGTTTCTTTACTGTTTAAGTTTCTTCAAGTTGTTGCTGCTGCTACTGCTTAATTTTTAAGCACTTTCGTTATTGATGTTATTTTTGCTGTAAATATTGTCAGATTTTGTGCATCGTGAGCCGTCTGATTTCCTCCTGTGATATTGTTTTGTGTGATTCTTGGAGGAGGAAGAGGAGGAGGATGATTTGCCTTCTGTTTTCGTTCCAAATTTTTGCAAAAAGAGGAAATAAGAGAAAAGGGAAACAAAATCATATAAAAAGAAAGAAAATAAATACCTTTTATTCCAATTCACCCACCATTTTTATTGTGGGGGATTTTATTTTTATTTGTTGATTATACTGAAATTTAGAAGAAGAAAAAGAATTTAGCTTTGAGGAGGAGGAGGAGGAGGAAGAGCTGCGGCTTCCTTGTTCTTTGTTGGGTTGTTGCCATTCTATGGGAATACCTGATCGTTCACTACTAGATCTAATATACAAAGTCAGGTCTTGGATTTCTGGAGGATCGAGCGTTTTGCGGGTTTTGTCTTGTGAGTTTGATATGCCTAGTAACGGTTGCAAGATGTGTTGTGATTGCAATACAAACACCACCGGTATTGGTCCTAGATATCACTGCCAGAGCTGTGGCAGATGGATTTGTGGAAAGTGTATTCAGGGCTCTGAGTGGGATGGCATCGAGATCAGTGGTGAGGTTGGAGAGAGTGGTATTAAGTTCTGCAAGTTTTGTTCGTTGGCTAGATTAAGGAAGGAAGGTGGAAGGAAGAATAGTGAGAAAGTGCATCCGTCTGCCTCTCCCCGAGAAAGCCCTGAACCACCATCCCCCTGCTGTAGTGGCGAAACAGTCAAGTGTTATGCGGATAATGATGAATCCATTCGCGGTGATCATTTCTCAAAGATTTTAGAAGCCCATGATTGCGGTTATTCACCCCATGCTGAGAGGAGTATGACCTCGTTTAGTTCTCACCCATCTCCAATATCTGTTCGTCAGTCTATTAGCAGGTATGCTTTCATTCAGATAGCATGTTGTGCATCATGATGCAGTTATAAAAGGTTTATATAATTTGTTTAATTGGATTTCTTGCATATAACTAATCTCTTCAACTGCTATACTATTCAAACGTTGAATATATTTTTTTTGTTCCATGTCCACATATCCTTCCATTAATTCTCTGTTTTGTAATGTAGGAGTGACGAGGAGGAGGCAGAGGATTCTGGAAAGAACTTTGGCAGTCCTTTAAGTGAATATTGTGATGACAATTTGGACATAGATATAAGTAGTGTTAGTTCTAGAAACGAGTTTTACAGTTCAAGGTCACTGGGATCCAATCATTTTGATTGCCCGTCTAGAATTTATTATACTTCTAGTAGAGTTGGGCATTCTGTACAGCAGGGACGGGATGGAATCCTTGTGTCTCAGAATGATGGTCCCTTTGGTCAACAGACTATGGCCGTTTTAAAAAGGCCTGAGAGAGGGACTGAGGATCCAGATATTACTGATGATTGCTCTGATGACCCATCAGTTATCGGTAGTCAATATGAGAAGTCACACAGGCCACTGGATTTTGAAAACAATGGTCTCATCTGGTATCCCCCTCCGCCTGATGATGAGAATGACGAGGCAGAGAGTAATTTCTTTTCTTATGATGATGAAGATGATGACGTTGGAGATTCGGGTGCAGTGTTTTCATCAAGCAGTAGCCTCTCGAGCATGTTTCCTGCAAAGGAGAAACAAAATGAGGGTAACAAGGAACCACTTAGAGCTGTGGTACAGGGGCATTTTAGAGCTCTTGTATCACAACTGTTACAAGGTGAGGGTTTCATTGGTAAAGGGGATGGAGATGAGGACTGGCTTGACATAGTTACAACAATTGCGTGGCAAGCGGCAAAGTTTGTTAAACCAGATACTAGCAGGGGAGGCAGTATGGATCCTGGTGATTATGTGAAAGTTAAATGTGTTGCATCAGGAAGTCCAAGTGACAGGTATGATTTCCTTGACATTTTTACATGATGTTTTGCATATCTCCAAGTTAGAGACGTATTTATATCTTTTAATTTATGAATTTTGGATTTGTGCAGTACCCTTATAAAAGGAGTAGTTTGTACAAAGAATATAAGGCACAAGCGCATGACCTCACAGTACAAAAATCCTAAATTACTTATTTTAGGGGGAGCACTTGAGTATCAGAAAATTCCAAACCAGTTGGCATCTTTTGACACATTGCTACATCAGGTCTGTTTTTTCTTCTTTCCAATTCAACAGATTTCTCTCTCTCTCTCTCTCTCTCTGATGAATGGTAACAATTTTTTGTAACGTAAAACTCCTTATAACTGATTTATTTCGTACTCTTTTTTTTTTCTGACAGGAAAACGATCATCTTAGGATGATTATCTCAAAGATAGAGGCTCTTCGCCCCAATGTTCTGCTGGTAGAGAAAAGTGTATCTTCGTATGCTCAGGACTGCCTGCTGGAAAAGGAAATATCATTAGTATTGAATGTCAAAAGGCCAGTATTGGAGCGCATAGCCCAGTGTACTGGTGCACTTATTACTCCATCAATTGACGATATCCCTAAGACCCGTTTGGGACATTGTGAATTGTTCCGGTTAGAAAAAATTACTGAACAGCATGAGCCCGCCAATCAGTTTAACAAGAAACCACTGAAAACCCTGATGTTTTTTGAAGGGTGTCCAAGGCGTCTTTGCTGCACTGTAATGTTTTCCATATACAGCATTTTGTTGTTTCTTTTACAATTTGAGTATCTGCTGTTTATTTGATTATGCTCATTGTAATTTAGAGCCTGGTGGGGTGGTCTCTAATCTTGTCAGTTTCTGTTTTAGGTTCTGCTGAAGGGTGTGTGTGTTGAAGAACTAAAGAAGATCAAGCATGTTGTCCAGTATGCAGTTTTTGCAGCTTACCATTTATCCCTTGAAACATCCTTCCTTGCTGATGAGGGTGCTACTCTGCCCAAGACACCGCTGAGACACTCAATTACCATACCAGACAGGACAACAGCTGATGCAATTTCAGTAGTCCCTAATTCTCTTGCTTTGAACAATTCCCGGGCTGTAACTTTTGCTTCTGCTCAAGATGATAACATTTTGGGTCTGAAGCCGGAAATTGAAGGATTAGAATCTTTGCCTGGGCATCTTGATCCTGGACTTGATTTACCTGTGTCTAATGGTTCTGTTGACTGTGTGGTTGGAAACACATCTTCTGATGCTTACACTGATGATATAGGAAATAATGTGTTTTTGGGATCTTCTTATCAATACAAGGATATAAATGGAGTCACTGTCCATTCTTCTGAAACAAAATATGTCTCCCAACCAGAGTTGCAAGAAAGTTTGCCTCATGACTGGAGTCAGCATGAGGATAATGAGTTGACAAACTCTGAAAGGATTGATCACAACGAAGTTTCAAGCGAGTACTTCTCTTCTGCTGACACTCATCAGAGCATATTGGTATCCTTCTCAAGCCATTGTGTACTGAAAGGAACTGTTTGTGAACGCTCCCGACTTCTGCGCATAAAATTCTATGGTTGCTTTGATAAACCACTGGGAAGATATCTTCGTGATGACCTATTTGATCAGGTAATTCATTGTTACTTTACTTGATCCCCTCCTTAATTTGTTTTACTGATCATGAAATGGAATTAAAGTTAATAATAAGCTTTGTAATTGGCAGACGTCTTCGTGTCGAACTTGTAAAGAGCCAGCGGAGGCGCATGTTCTATGTTACACCCATCAGCAAGGAAACCTTACCATTAATGTTAGACGCCTTCCTTCACTAAAGCTACCTGGGGAGAGAGATGGTAAAATATGGATGTGGCACCGGTGTTTAAGGTGTGCCCATATTGATGGAGTTCCACCAGCAACAAGGAGAGTAGTAATGTCAGATGCTGCATGGGGGCTTTCTTTTGGAAAGTTCTTGGAACTGAGCTTTTCAAACCATGCAACTGCGAATCGTGTTGCTACTTGTGGCCATTCATTACAACGGGATTGTCTCCGTTACTATGGGTAAGTACTAATAGATTTGGAGTTTTATTTACTTTTTAGTGTGCTAAATGCTCTTAGTTTAACAAATTGACTTGTATTACAGGTTTGGGAGCATGGTTGCGTCCTTCCGATATTCCCCAATTGATATTCTTTCTGTCCATTTGCCCCCTTCAGTGCTTGAATTCAATGGCCAAGTTCAACCAGAGTGGATCAGACAAGAGGCAACAGAGGTTTTTTTAAGAATTTTAATCTAATTCTCAAATATTTGATTGATTGGTGGTGAATGGTGAACTAGTTTTATAACTGTTGGAAGTTTATGAGAGCTCAATTCTAATGACCTGGATTGTTATGCAGCTTATGGGAAAAATGGAAACCATATATGCAGAGGTTTCTGATGCACTTGACTGCATGGAGGAGAAAAATAGATCCTTTGGACATCAAATGTCAGGTACAATTGAGTTACAGAACCACATTATGGAGCTGAAAGATCTGCTTAAGAAGGAAAGAAACGACTACATTGTAAGTGCAAAATTGATTATCACATGTGACTGCGATTGGTATCACATGTTTACTGGTCCATGGTTCATGTTTATGCCTTCTGGAATCTGTGTTTTTCTAATCTAGTCTACTTGCTTTCTCAATAGGGTTTTCTGCAACCTGCTTTTGTGGAGACGTCAGAACCAGGCCAAATGCCTGTTTCCGACATTCTGGAGCTAAATCGCTTGAGACGTTCTCTTTTAATTGGTTCTCATGTTTGGGATCGCCAGCTTTATTCATTGGACTCGCTGCTTAAAAGGAATCCTGTTTCCATGGCTACTGATGGGGTTGTATCTTTTGCCCACCTGCAAGAGTTGATAAGTGGTCCATCTGGCAAGGATGGCAGCCTTGACTATGGCTCTGAAGATAATGTATCTGATTCTTCAAAATTTCAAGTGCCTTCTGAAGACATATCATGTCACTATAGCCACTCAGATAAGGAAATTGTTGGTCAGACATCCTGTGAAGGCTTGTCCTCCCTTAAATCTACACTGTCCGAGAGAATAGATTCTGCATGGACTGGAACAGATCAACTTCTGGTGAAAGCTCAACCTCTTGATGCATCACATTTGACAGAACTTCAAGCTGGTGCTGTCATGCATACTAGGCAAAGTGATGATCCTCCTTTTAAGAGGTTAATGTCGCCAGTGAGAGTTCAGTCTTTTGATTCTGTACTAAGATTTAGGAAGGGATTTTCCCCTTCTTCATTGCATTTGTCGACGCTTAGATCATTCCATGCTTCTGGAGATTATAGGAGTATGGTGAGAGATCCTGTTTCTAGAGTCAGAAGGACTCTTTCCCAGGCATTGCCTCTAGAGGCACAGAAGTTGGATTCGATACTCAATTCCACACCCTCGTTTGTCTCCTCTGCATCTCAAATAGCTGATGGGGTTCGGTTGCTGCTTTCCCAGACAAGCAACAATGACATAGTTGTTGGTGTTTATGATAGCGAGCCCACTAGCATAATCTCATATGCCCTTAGTTCCAAGGATTATGATGATTGGGTTGCTGATAATTTGAATGAGCATCAGGCAGGCTGGAGTATTCGTGAAAGCTTAAAAGAAGATTCTACGGCTTCTATCTTTTCACCCTGGCAGTCTTTTGGCTCTATGGACTTGGATTATATCCCTTATGGATCTGAAGATACTTCAGCTTCCATGGGTAACCTGTTTGCCGATGCCAAAAGATCTCCACATCTGAGGATTTCTTTTGGGGACGAGTCCTCAAATGGGGTAGGAAAAGTGAAATTTTCTGTGACGTGTTATTTTGCAGAGCAGTTTGACTCTCTTAGGAAAAAGTGCTGCCCCAGTGAAGTGGATTTTGTACGATCTTTGAGCCGCTGCAAGAGGTGGAGTGCACAGGGGGGAAAGAGCAATGTGTATTTTGCTAAATCTCTGGATGATAGATTCATCATAAAACAAGTCACAAAGACGGAATTGGAATCCTTTCAGGAATTTGCACCTGAGTACTTTAAATATTTGACAGGTTCCCTTAGCTCAGGAAGCCCAACTTGTCTTGCCAAGGTTCTTGGTATATATCAGGTAAGGCGGCTTTGATTCTTCATTTTTTTTTGTTTTTTGTATTTTGTTTATGTCTGTGCGGGTCAGTAGCGAGTAGTAGCTTAAAAATTTGTGTGATCTTATTATACTGGTGTATTGGCAGGTCACTGTTAAACATCTTAAAGGTGGGAAGGAAACTAAAATGGATTTGATGGTGATGGAGAACCTGTTCTTCAAAAGAAATATTTCAAGGGTATATGATCTCAAGGGATCTACTCGATCCCGTTATAATTCTGATACAACGGGGGGAGACAAAGTACTGTTAGATATGAATCTGTTGGAATCATTACGTACACAACCCATGTTTCTTGGAAGCAAAGCAAAGAGAAGCCTGGAAAGGGCTATTTGGAATGATACGTCGTTTTTAGCGGTATGCCTTGGCCCCCTTCCTCTTTTTTTTCTTACTTCTAATGATAAATGTTAAAATTTTCTCACGATCATTAGATCATCGATGCCTTTTATAATGCATATTTGTAATTCGAGTTTAAATAAACTACAGTAGCACTTGTTTACTTTTATCAAACTGGTACGAACAATAAGGCTATTAATTTCGGCCAATGCCTCTCCAGTCTGTCGATGTAATGGACTACTCACTGCTGGTTGGGGTGGACGATGAGCGGAAGGAGCTGGTCTTGGGGATCATAGATTTCATGAGACAATATACATGGGACAAGCATTTGGAGACATGGGTAAAGGCATCCGGGATACTTGGTGGTCCGAAGAATGCTGCTCCGACTATTATTTCCCCCAAGCAATACAAGAAACGATTCAGGAAGGCGATGACCACGTATTTTCTCACCGTGCCGGATCAATTGTCGTCATGAAACACAGCATTCTTTTTTGTTCACAAAAGATGTGTTCGCTAATAAGTCCTGCAGGGGAATTGTTACTTCTGATAAAACGGAGAGGAGGGAAACCCCTCCATCTTCTTCTTCTTCTTCCCCTTTCTTTTGTATATGGGGGCAGAGTTGAATTAACCCAAATGAGATTTGTTACCCGCTGTAATTGTGAAGTGTTGGTAACTCTTGTTATTTTGTATGTCGAAGTTACCAACAATGTAGGATTTTTACTATTTAGCCATGCGATGTAAAAGTAGACAAATGTAAATTTAACTTTGATACCATGGATTTCTGTCCACGTGCTTCATCAGTAAAATATCAAATTTTTATCAGTCTCTTGAATTATAATTCTTTAATTAAAACATTAGCGGATGAAATTTCTTGAACAATAATATGTATTTGTAATGCTATTTGTTTGATATCGTACTTTTAAATATAAAAAATAAAGGTCGCATGTGTGTGTATTATCAGGTACTTAATAATTTGTTTTAATTAGCTTGTTATTATTGAGCTAATGCTAAACATAATCCTTTGGATAAGAAACCTTGAAAATTACTTTTGGTTTTAGGAATTCTTAAAATAGCTGCAAAACGAACTCTTTTTTTTTGTTACTTTAATAGTTTTGAAACTCTTCTTATTTTAAATTATTGTAATAGTTTCGAAGCTTCTTTCCCTTTGATTAATAATATTTTTTCTTTTTGAAAATAGATTCATAAAGGTTATGAAGGTTATGATTTACCAAAATTGTATGTGAGTACAGATGTAAGTTAGGTCAGTTGGTTAGGGCTAAAAACAGCTGTTTTCTTGCTTGGGGAGCTAGTGCGCCTGACTAAAATATCGTCCATATCGTTTTGTTCAAAATATAAAATTGTAGGTGGATTCATCACGACTAAGAAGAAAAAGGAAACAGGAAGATAAAAAGTTTTGACTCCAATTTATGTATGATCATACAATATATTTAACTAACTACATCAGTTGCTTAAAGATAATCCTCGATCACTTCCTCAAGTGTGTGGTTGATGGGATACTGCGCACACTGAAGTAGAGCTACCGGCTACAGGCGCTGCTCGCCACTACTTGTTAAGAAGCCGCCACTATTTGCTGTATCTCTTCTTCATTGGCTGGTCGGAAACTCACTCGTTTCTGCAGGATCCAATACAAGAAGATTTCAATATATTTTCTCTTAACTATTGTAAAACAATAAGTTAGACATAAACATTCATGTACAAGTCATTAGTACTATACTTTAGTGCTATTCTTCTCCATTAATAAATGAAAGTTTTGGGTTGAACTCCCATGAATGGGGAGTTCGATGTTTGGTTATGGTTAACCCATTTTTTTTAAGGCTTAACCATATCGTCTCGCTCACTATCATTGTATCAAAACATAACAAATTAGAATATCTAACATTTCAAATTTTAGTATTTCTACAAAAATGAAAATCTAATATTTAAGTATAAGTTAATATGTCTCTGGTTATAGCTGTAAACATTTCGATGTGAAACATGTTTAGATGGAAACAGAGTGGTAGGTGGTAAACTACCAAATGGGCAGTGTGTGCAACTAAGCTGGCAAAAGCAGGTGAAAAGCTTGACTATCAACGCATATTTCCAATTGCCCAAACTTTTTAAAATAACGAACACCATGACTTAAGCCATATTTGGCTACCGTTCTGACCAATCTGTCGGTACGAAAATTGGGTAAAGGGGCCAGCAGATGAAATCCCAAATTTGTGTCGGCTGTGGAAATGTTTCTCTGTGAACAGGAAAGGTGGGCGCAAATTAAGGTAAGATTTGGCTTATGCTTGAAATGAATAATGCTACCTAAGTTATATGGGAAGCATGGAGAAGTATTTGGGTATGACGAATTCAATATAAAAACTTCTTTAATATTTTTTGGAAAAACAATAATGTTAGCGGGTTAAATTGATAAATTATATGGAAGGGGAATAAGTGTGAATCGAACTTATACTAAAGTACATAAATATTATTGTTTTCTGCCACCGTGTAACGTATCATCTACCAATATAAATAATACTTACTTGGGTCTACCAACATTTCTATGCAAGCAACCAACCTAACCAGAAATGTCAAACACCACCACATGGCACAAAAGCAGGATTGATGTCTCTCAGAAACCCTACCTGAACCCGATGACGCCCCTTGATTCCTTGCGACTCGAGCAGTCTTCCTTCATCCTTCCAATGTATTTGCGGGTTCAAACCCAAACCTTGATCATTGCTCTTCACATTGTTGGTGTTCACCATGCAAAGATCCATAATCTTCTGAGCTGCCTCCGCGTCGTCTCCACTTTGCCGCATCAATTTCTCCACTTCTGCCCTCGGAAGCCTCATCCTCACGCGCACCGCCCCATTCGCCTCCTCCTCGGGTACAATGCTTGCTGTCGATGCCGATGATTTCATGACCGAAAGGTCCGAAACCGACCTCCGAGAAAGCATTAGGCTTTCGAGCCTGTCCTTAGCACTCATGTTTATTCCCGAACGAACCCTTCTCGGAAAACTCTCTTTTTTAACATCAACCTTTGGCAACTCCACAAGAAAATACAACCTGTTTGGCTCAAGCTGTTGGTAAGGTTCCAACGGCTTTGCCCGAACCCCGAAATGCTTCACATCCGATGATTTTAGCAAAACATGACCTGGGAAATCCTTGACAACCTCACCAGCTTGCACTGGTGTTTTCAACTTGAATGTCTCTCCATTAACTTGCATAACTTTTGCACGTTTTTTGCCTCCCAAGCTGTTTCCCATAGCTATAGCTCACTGGCCAAATATTTGGATTCTGTTTCTGCTATAACAGATACTCAGAAGACGGAAGATTGTATTTTTAATTTAGGATCGATGATTAATGTTTTGATTGGCCTTTTATCATGCCAAAAGTCGAAAGCTCTCACGATGGTGGGTCTCAGATAGGACATTTTTATGGGTAGTTGTTGTAATTTGCAAATGTATTTGGTCAACAAAGAAGGCGAAAAACGACTGAATTTTGGTTTTTGACTACGTCATGAAGTACGTATGATTTCGCTTTCGATCGATCCTAAATTTCTAATTTAAATATTATTTGTTAAATGTCACCCTTGGAATTTATGCTTTTTAATTATATTTCATACTTTAAAAGATAATGCTCTTCAAAAACCCGTGATGTGTGGAACAAAGATGATTGTTTAATCACATTTCCTTCTTATATTCAAAGGAAAACAGTATACGATAATCACGGCGGGAATTATTTAAGATTTTCTCTTTGGATTTGATATGATCATGTGAAAAAATTGACTAATGGAAAATCGTGTTAGGAAAACGTGATTTCATCGCCATCAAGACTAATACTTGATTAAGCTCTTGATTTGTTTTTGTCAAATCAACAAGTCATTACAAACTTCAACACTGTCACGTGTAGAAGATTGAATTTATCAAAACTATAAAAACGAAAAGAACAACACAAACAACTAAAATATCCAAATCATTACCAAAAACCATAAGCTGTATCCATGCTAGAACAACCAAAGTCTAAAAGTTAAACTATATTTCTACTTTTACGTGGTTTCTCTTCTGCGATGGTTTTATGTGGTATCTAGTGACGATCTTTTATAGTTGTTGATATAAATTTGTTATATCTATCGTTCTGTGATAGTTTTGTATCATTAAATGTGAAGTTTTCGTACATATGATAGCCGTCTAGGGGTTTACTATTGTTGTCTTGCTTGTGCAAAGTCACCTCCAAATCATTTTCTTGGTCACTGGAATATTATACCCAATTAATACCTATGTATTATTTGAGATGATTAATGAAATACCAATCTATTGTTGTTTGTCAAAAAAGTACCATATTCCTAAATCATGACCACCACCGGGAATCAAAGTTGCTCCAACAAATAGATAGAACAAACCACATTTAACCGTGAAGAACCTGTACATCAATGGGCAAATCGGGAGAGTAATCAGTGATTAAGCTCTCATAATTTTAACACAGTCTTTTAATATTATATCACTATCGAAGTAATTAGTTATTAAGCTCTCCTGGCTAATGTGGACGACTAAGCTTACTACTCGGAGACTGAGACTAGTACAATACTGGGTCCAAAATGATGGTCCGCTCATCAACTTGGAAGAAATAGTTCTCTCGAACATGTTATCTAAGACAAGGAAAAGTTGAAATTCCATTGACTCAGAAAGCTAATATTCCTGCAGCTCGTATATATCTGATTGCATGCGGTTACTTTTCTAATTCAAATTCAACATGCAGAAAGGCTGCTACGCACGTATACAACTGCATTATATCCATCCGATCGAGTTGGAATTTGAAAAACTATTACGCAATTATTTGTAGAAAATGAAATGCATGGAAATGTAAAACATGGGAAATTAAACGACAATTGACAAGTTCAAGCTTCAAGTGAGCATAAGATGCCATTCTTGTATTCATAGTTTTATTGGTCAGAGGCTTCTTGCAACTTGCAGTTAACTTGTTACAAATAATAAAAGAAGAGGAATTGAATGCCCTCCTTCTCCAGCTCTGAATTTCTGACCCAGTGGTTAGGGTTTTCATACTAATCAATATACAATTAATTTTAAAAGAAACAGTTATTGAATCTCGCATCAGGCTAAAAAGGAAGAGGATCCTCTCCGGATCCATTTTGTGAGAATTCTAGGAATCCTCACATCCTAACTGTTCATCGTACATCGTGCGGTTAATTTTTGTTAGATATTATTTATGTTTAATTTTAAATAAAAAAAGTCAAATAATTTCTAACAACATGATACCGATGAATGATTAAGATGTAGAGATTCCTAGCATCCCACAAAATGAATCCAAATGGGATCAAATTCTGTCTGAAAAATAGTCGTCCTTCACTATTCCTTTCTTTAATTTTCGACTAGAGAAAAGTGCAAACTGATAATATTTAAGTGTTAATAATAGTTGCCATTTAAGATTATGAACTGAGACCGATTGAAACAAGAAGACAAAAAGAAAAGCTGCAAGTAGAAAAGTTACATAACTGTTACATTTTAGCTTTAGTAATTTAGCTATTGATTATTTGATATGATTTTGCGGCACAAAATGGACTAGTTTGGTTCACATTGGTTCATATTGAACTCATGCTTTCTCGATTAAACGAGATTAGTTGACCAAATGAAGTTAAATACGTTTTTAGTAAGGGAAAAACTGGGTTGTGGTCCATCTAATCAAATAAACGTCTTCCATTCCAACAGTGCTACTGCTCTAACCACCCATCCCGATAAGGGCAACGCAGAAAACAAGGGATTCGGCTAATATAAAAGCTGTATTCTCGGATGTTAATTTGTTGCCTTGTGAGT